ATGCGGGTTATCACGCCCTACATTAATTAGTATTGCTAGGGTAAATAGTTGCTAGGGTTTGAATCTGGGTATATATAGGGCTGTAACTCGGGCGGGTTGGGCAGGCTAGAGACTTAATTCGGGCTAAGCCCACGTACAAATTTTTTTGACCAAGCCCAGCCCATGAGCCCACACCTCTGTATTCAGCATATAAAAAATAGGTAATCTTGTGCAGTTACAAGGACTCGAACAACATTCCTCCAAAAAAAAAAATTCAAATACACTACCAACTAAGTTATTATACACTTATGAAATAATATAGTTTTAAAATAAATATACCCTTTGCGGGCTCGGGCTGGGCTTCTGCAATGACCCGGTCATTTTTCTTCCTTTCTTTTTTCGGTAAATTTCTTTTTTCGTCTTTTCCCTATTTCGTCCTTTAGTCGTTTTTCATTTTTCCTTGCATAACCTCACTTTTTGTACTCAGATTTGATTCCGGCTTTCCATACATCCATGATATTTAATTTCCATGATATCTACATTTTTACTTTTGTAGAAATGCATGCTAAATGTTTACTTTTCTTGTAAAGGGCATGAATGCATGACTTTTGGTAATTATTCTAAACTTGAGGGGTTTTGTGTAATTAAATAAAGTAATTAGTTTTCCTCTTAGGGACCATTTTGCAATTTTATTTGAAAGATAATTTCAAAAATGACCTTTTTACAATTTTTTGAAAATGTGACAAGTGTCACATTCCTAAGGTGCCACTTGTTGACATTGTGGAGGAACCACTTGGAGGCTTAATCTCTTGACACATGGAGGGTGGAGATTCACCCATTTGTTGGCCAAAAATAGGAGCACTTGTTGGCATGGATGGTTAACATTTGTAGGCTCAATATAAAGTCTTAGAAGTTTATTTAGATTAATAACAAGTGTAGATCTCACATTTAGTCTTGCATTAGTGTGTGTGTGAGAGGTAGTGCAAGAGCACCTAGTGAGTGGAGAATCCCACCACATTTAGCTTAGGGTTTGCATTTCATTTTCATTCATCTCCTTCCTCTCAAGAACCCTAACTTAGCCACCATTGGAGCAAAGCTTGACTTAGAGTTTTGACTTCATTTTTGGCCTCATTCCACTCACCTAAAACCATTAAGCTTAGAAAACTTTAGCTTCCTCTCACTCTCCTCTACAAAACCCTTGTTTGGCTTTTCATTTTTAAGCTTGGTTACCTTGGATTATAGAGATTCTATTCTCTATTGAGGTTGGGGGTATTATAATTTATTTTCCAAGTGATTTAATTGTTCTTGTAATGATATACAAGTTGTATGCATGTCCTATGTTAAATTAAGAAATAAATGACTAATGGTAGCTTGCATATAATTCACTTTAGACTTGATATATGGCATGGCCATGACTTGATCTTTGTTGTTTATTAATTTGGCATGATTTAAATGAGCTTTGAAATCTAGAGAATTAATTAATTTATATTGATTTAAATTCTACTTAATTGTACCATGCTTAAATTCCATTTTTTGACTTGATATATGGCATGTCCATGAGTTACTCCTTGTTATATATGAAATTGGAATCATTTAGACAACTCTTGAAATCTAAAGAAATTACTTAATTAGTTTAATTAATTTCTATCTTATTGTTCTAATGATTTAGTCATTCAATTCATGGAACTTATTATGTTTTATCACATATCATGACTTGTTGCTCAACTTGTTGATTTTAAAAACTTGGGATATTATCAAGAACTTGACTTGGCTAGGACTTAGTTCTAGTATGGGAGATAGAGAGCTCCCTCTATTATAGTGCACACTAAAAGAAGGTACCCATGGGTTAATAGCCCTAAAGTGATCCCAAGAGTACGGTTTTAATCCGGGCAATATCCAAGTATCCACTTTGGTTTGATTTCGCATTTAAATTCCAAGTTGTTAACTTTGTGAATTTGCGTCTCATTATGCTATGTTGAAAGTTTTAATGTTACTTTAATAGCATTGATTGAATTATATTAAATTGCAAACTTTGTAATAAATTAAACTTATGCATGCTCATTCCCTACGAGTAAAGTTGTTTACTCACCCCGAAGTTACCGGGTGTTTTTCAGGTAAAGAAGCATTATTGTGGGATGCACAACAATCTTAGACTTGCTACACTGCTTGGAGTATTTTTGTTATATTAGAATATACACTTGTTAGCATATCTTGTTTCATTTTGCTTATTATGACAAAATATGTATTTATTGTTCAAACAATATAATGTGCACTTAAGTGCACCTTTTGATACTCTTTGGATGTGTGTGTAACAAGGCCAAGGGCCAAACATGCTTAATTTAGTACTTGTAGTCATTTGGTATCATCTTTTGCTTTAAGAATGTATTTTAACAAACTTTGGAGGTCTAGCATGTGAGATTTTTGTAAATGATGTGTATGAGGCCATGAGCCATTGTTCTATGTATAAATAATTCATATTATGCTTGTTGACATATTCACATGCTTAATTTCCCTTAGAAAGAATCAGTTTTGACCTATGCATGTGGGTAGAATGAATTCCATAGGTTCAATTTCAAATCTCACATGTTTAGCAAAGCTTCCAACAGGATTCGAGGTGTTTTCGGTCGACCGATGGCTTATTTCGGTCGACCGATGGCTTATGTCGGTCTACCGAAGTGTCCCACTCTTTAAAATCAGGTTTTTGAAAAGTTTCTGCCAGTTTAGGTCGTCCAAAACTTTATTTCGGTCGACTGAAACTCCCCTCATACACCTGCCTTCCAGATTTTGTTCCAGCACTGAAGTTCTAACTTCAAACGGTCATATCTCCTTCATTTCTAATCCAAATGGGATTATTCTTAAGCCTAAACTCAAGGATTTTGAGTCAGCTTTCTAATGGTACATATTCCATTCTCAGATTCAAATCATAGTGAGAGTTATTCATATTTTAGTGAGATAGGTTTAGTTTTTGCTTAAACCGGGAAGGGCGTTTTTGGGGAATTCTTGTCCAAAGTTCTTAGAACCTCTTGAAATGTTGTGAAATGATAAGATTAGGTTATATCCACCTTGTTTGAATTGTTTAGAGTCAATTTTCTCCTTTTATTTGTGAATTGACCATTTTGCCCTTAATTGACGGATTTAGCCCGTTTTGACTTTCGTTTGCTCATTCGCTTTTCTTGAGTTCCGTGACTTCATGGAAGGTCACGTTGGTGTCTTAGGAATGATTAATATCCCTAGAGACCTTGGTTTATCTTCGCTTCTGCAATTCGGATCCATTATCGGGTCAATCCTCGGTTCATCACTTACACACCGGGTTGAATAAAACCCGGGTCGTTACAGCTTCGGGCTTTATATAATATCAACCCAAGCCCAAACTGAATTTAATTCAGGCTCAGAATATCTAGCCCAAGCCCAGACCTAGAACAGAAAAACACTACCCAAGCCTTAAAAATTTCAGGCTGAGCTCGGGTAAATTCGGGCTAGCCCTGCCCGAGTTGCAGCCTTAAGTATATAGCAAGGAGGGGAATTTCAATTAAAAAACCGTGTACATTGATTAGGTGCATGAAAATATATATTTTCAACAATGTTCGATTGCCGGATTTCTTATTATTATTCTTATTTTTATTATATAAAACTTAGAATCATTAAAAAAGTATTATCAATCGTAAGGTTACAAAGTTGTTCACAGATGTCAAGTTGCACGTGTGTCTAGTAAAATGTGATTAGTCAAACTATTATTACTAGCTCAAAAAACATATGAAATTTGTTCATGGGAAATTATCATCCTTTGAATAAATGGACCGATTTGGATAAAGCCATTGAAGATGAGTAGGAATATCCCTTTTTTGTTGACTTTTAGCCCTTAAAATCAAGTATTGAAAATAAAGCCCAAACTATTATCCTATGTAATTTAGTAGTATTTTTTCGCCATATAAAATTTAATATTTTTATAAAGAAATATATTTTATTAAATTTGAAATAAAATCAAATTTTATTGGGATAAAAAATTGATAATCAAATTCTTTTGAGATTTAAAATTGGAATTAAAAAAGAATTAGAATTCAATTGTAAATGAAATGAAATTCTATTATTAAAAAGAAATAAATTTTGTAGAGTTGATTTTAATAAGTTAAAATTATAAAGACACAATGGTTACTTTTAAAAGTGACTAGATTAATGTAACCAAGCTAAAAGATATCTAGATTGGCAGACCTGGTATATATGGTAATATGTTGCCAAATTGTGGTTGTCTATATAACTACTAGTCTTCTCAATGAATTTGGTTCACTTTGACCAATACATCATCATGGGTTTTTCCTAATGGCTGGTGGTGGGCCATGCTTTATTTCAAATTATAAAAAAGTAAATGGAACGATGCCATCATTATACACACCTTTCTCTACTTGACCGTGATTTTCAGTAAGAAGGTTTTGGAGAAGACGAGGTTCTTCACGCATTCGTTTTGCATAGAAACCTCTTAAATTTTAAAAAAAAAAAAAAAAAAAAAAAAAAAAAAAAAAAAAAAACTCACGAGTCTTCTCACAAAAGAGACCTCTTAAAAGCATATAAATAAATAAATATTTATGTATATATATAATAATTTATTTATACGTAGACAGTCGAACATTATTTTCTTGCTCCTTAATGGAAAATGGACACACCGACTTTTTTTTTTTTTGTTAAAAGGGTAAGCTATGGACACGCCGACTTAATTACATATAAGATGAAATAAAAGAAAGCATTTAATGCCTCAGTCAGTCTAGCCACTTGTATTATAGAAAATTGAGTGTTAGCTTCCACATGCTTGCATTATAAATAAATACCCCTCCTACTCAACCTTATCATTACACCACACATTTCTCTTCTAACAACAGTACTTGTTTTCAACATGGTAGACAGCTGCTTGTCATTGTCATTGAGAAACGTGTGTGTGTGTGTGTGTGGTAGTAGTGTGTATATATATTATAATGTGTGTATATATATATATATAATAATAATAAATATGTGGTTGGTGGGTTACCAGCTGTAACCCACTCACCACAATTATAGTCGAGTAAGTGGATGCCATCATTATACACACCAAATAGGGTAGAGTAAATGGATGCCGACCCCGAATCCCATTCTTTTAAGCAAAATCTTCCAGAAACCTCCGATTGACATGGTCGCTGCTCTGTTGGGTCTGATTACTTTCAAGTACTTTTCTAACTACGTGTGTGGCTGGTGGTTTAGCATGACGTTTCACTCTCTGCTCCTAAAGATCTTAATCTTCTTGAAGTTGTGCGTGATTGAATTTTCCAATCGTTTCAGTTGTTCTTGACTGAGTTTTTTTCCATTTATTTGTAAATACATCATACTGAGCTTAAAATTCAGAAGAGCTTTTTTGGTTACCATGCTTCGCCTCTGCTACAGCGTGCAAGTTTCTTGGAGACCAGGTATATTCTTATCATTCTTTTGGCTACTGCACTCTCACCATACTTCAACTCTCTTCTTTTTCCATTTTAAAGTCATTCACAAACGATATAAACACCCATACTCCTTTTGCCTCTCCACCCCTTCTTCTGCTGTTTGTTATTGTTATTGTTATTGTTTTTCCCTCCTTGCTCCACATCTTCTTCTTCTTCTAGTAATCAGTATAGACCACCCAACGCAACCACAACCACAACTGTAATACCCCTAATTTTAAAAAGGATATAATGGAAATTTAATTAATTATTTATGTGCATTTTAAATTGATAAATTGATTATTTGTTTTGTGTGCATTTAAATATGATTTATCTGGCTAAGTGGTTAATTGTTTTACTTGTTTAAAATTGGTATTGTGTATTTGTTTTATATTGTTTATTTATTTTAACTTAATTACGTGCAATTGGGATTTATTTTATTTATTTGATTAATTGGTATTTTTTTTTATTATTACGTGTTTTTAAATGGTTTGTGTGACTTATTTGATTTAAGTTATATGGTTGTAGTTATATTTACGTTTAGGGTTTTGGTGTTAAGTATTTTTGTTGGCCGACTTATACTTGGGCTGGAATTAGGATTAGGGTTTTTTGCATGAGTCTATATATATAGAAAAATATTTGTCTGCAAGACACCCTTTTCACGTAATAATCTGGAAAAGTAAACAGAGGGAAACTAGAGAAGAGAGAAACAGAGAGGTTTGAGGGGAAAAACACAGAGGGACACAGAGAGAATCAATTAAGCTTTCATCTATGGACTAAAGGTGTACCATAGAGGAAGGAAGAGGTTGATGCTGAGATAGAACTGGAGCAGTAGGAGAGTTGCCGGTAGTCTACAGTTCGTCGGACTAGTTAGCAACGGCGTTGAAAGGTTTCAAACCGAAACCTAAAGGCAAGTTTCATTCTATCTCCTTCCTGTAAACTTGTGTTCTGTGCATTCTCTATAGTCTCCAGGAATCTAATTTAATTATTAAAATGGATGTTTATGTGTGATAGAGTCTCTGTACAATTTTAAACCCCTATTCCCTTTTGAAACTATGAACTGTTGTGTTTTGGTTTTAAATTTTTTTGTCATTAATTTCACAAGAGAATTTGAGGAGTTTCTAGGATTTAATGAACTTGAATTGAACCCTAGGAATGTAAGAAAAATTCTAGAATGGAAGGTTGAACTTCGCCGGACGCGAAGAAGATAAACGGAGAAAACATAAACTGTTGCGTTCATGGTTTAAGCTTTTGCTAGGTAATTCATGCTGGAATAAAAGAAGTTTCTAGGCTTGTTAGTACTTAATTTGAACCTTAGAAATCTTTAACAAAAGGTGGGACAGAGGGCGGAGGCTTTGCCGGACACGAAGAAGGCAACACAGAGGAAGTAAAGAAGGAAAAACGGAGGCTGGGGAAGTGGAGGCGGCTCCACACTTCAATGGAGGCGGCTCCATTGAAGTGGAGCCGGCTCCATAAAGAGTTGAGGCGGCTCAACTTAAAATTGGAGCCGGCTCAACTTAAAATTGGAGGGGGCTCCAATTTTATAAAGTGCCAGTACGTGAATTTTGTGATTTCAGGGCTCCAGTGTGTGTTTAAACTTGGTTTAATGGATTTGAATGATGTAATTAAATAGGATTATACCCAAGAATGATTAATTCTACCCATGAATAATTAATTCATGCTAGGAACTTGATCAACTTGGGATTTAAAATTAAATTCACATGCGGTTTACGGCTTGGAAGAAATTAAATTGCTTGTCGTGATGTTTAAGCAAATTTAATGGAGAGGTTTTAAAATGATGTATTTAATTTATTAAAAGACCTAGAATTATTGGTTGAGGCTATGGGAGTGGATGTCATGACTTTTAATTATTAATTAAGCATGCAGTTAAGGAGGGTGGAAGGGTTAATTTCTAGCGTGGTACTAGTAAATTAAACGGACTAAAATAAAAGTTGTTTTTGTGAGGTTATATAAATGAAATATATAATGTATGGGTCCCAGGAATGTTGGTTTCTACTACAGTTATAGACATCATGAAATTTAGATACTAAATTATATGCTGTCAGGAGCAGTGGAAGTTGTAATTGCTAGTCTTGCTTTAGAAAACTAAATGGACTAGCATGGAGGTGGTTTTGGCATTCAAAAAAAAAGTGTTCAGTTTTTATATCTGAGTATCATTAGATCATGCTTCGGACTTATAGTTGGGGATTAAATAGTCGCCATGAGAATTAAATATTAATTTACATGCCGACAAGGATTGAGGAGGATTTATATGCTAGTCTTCGTTTTAATAATGTAAATGAACTAGTATGGATGTATTGGTTGGGAATTCTAGTATAATGTGCAGTTTATAATTCTGTTTTTCATTATATTATGTTATGGATGATAATTGCTGAACTGTCATAATTTCTGTTCTGTTAATTATATGAAAATGGATGGCTTAAATTGTTTATCAGTACTTTAACAATTTAAAAGGAGGATCTATGATTATAATCATATACTGGATGCATAATAGGATCTTAATAATATCGGTTTTCTATTATGCTAGTTTCTGAATTTATTTGATGTTCTAATGAATGTGCATCGTTTATGGATCATTTGCATTATATGTACCGGTATGGGACGGTGACATATCAGGGATGGATTAGATCAAAAAGCTAAGTCCTACCCCTTCTTACATACGGAATGGATTAACTAAAATAGTTAACTCCTACATGGATACATGTCCTGTCAACTAAAACAGTTGAACGACATAATAGATGCTTGTTTTATCTTTCGGCATTAGGAAGGAATTTATATATATATTTATGGTACTGTGATACGAGCTTGAGTCTCCTGATCATGGTTAGGGTGCGTATATCGTAAAGGTTGAGTAGCTAGATATAGCAAATATTCCCTGGTAGGTCTAGGTACTTGGCCGCTGAAAAACGTGTTTTATAGGTCACCTTCTACCCAGGCTGAACTATGCTATAGGCTAGTGAGCATCCTATAGTGTGTATTTATATATCTATGGACTATTGTAGATATTGCCGAGCTATCTAGGATGTATCTGCGTATCGGGTTTATGTACGGATTGTAGTAGGATGGAACTTGCATGTGGGCCTGACCCACCTTTATTTTTTTCAGGTATTCGTGAGTACCAGGCTCAGGGTTTGATCGTGGTGATGCAGATACAGTCACTCACTCTTCCGACTACATAGGATTTTCTTTCTTATTTTGGTTTTGGATTTTAATTCTGTAAATGTTTTACCAGTTGGAAATATTAGGGGTCCACTAGATGGATTCCCGAGTTGTACGGATTGGAAAGTTTATTTATATTAAAACTTTTATTTTGGAGGTTTTACAATTAGAATTCTTTTCAGCGTATCATTATTTTATTCTTAATTCAGTTTTATTCTTGCTTGTTTATATATTGATTGTCTGGTATCCCTCGGATCTGTGTCCGGACTTGATCACCCGTGGCTCTAGAATCGAGGGGTATCACAGTTGGTATCAGAGCACTCCAGGTTCTAGTGTCCTTAGGAGTGTCTTTCGTCAGAAGTCTTCCGCGTTGCGTCTCTTAAAATTTAGAGCTATGTTAGGATTCATTGTACTCTTTTACGGTTCGTTAGGAGGAGCAGCTGATGTCAATTATATTCTATAAGTATAGAATGGTTGACACTAGAAGGAGGATGGGGTCCGCAGCAACAGCGATTCAGACCCAAAGGAGTAAAGGAGTATGTTATCAAGTTCTTTATCAGAAGCAGAACTCAGGATCAAAGGTTTAGTTTCGGTTGGCATTACTTTTAGAGGTATAGGCCAAGGAAGAATTTAGGAGTGTGTTTGAGGTCACCGCATGAAGGGACCAACACGATTGCAGTTGTTCTCGTAAAGGAGACAAACGGGGAATAGGAGTCCTAAGAGGATTCTAGTGGAGAAAATTGTAGCATACCCCAGAAAGAGGGTATTGAATCTTGTCAATAAAGGATCGCGAGAGGGTGATGTTGTTCGCTAATAAAATAGTGAACGATACTTATAGGGTTGGTGTGGATAGTTAACCTTTTGGGTTACCTTTAAAGGAGGTAGATAAAGGAACTCTTCAGGGGTTCAGGAATCGGATGGAGTTCTTCTCAGAACGAGGCAATGATTTTATATCACGTTCCGGGAAGTGTGGGAATTAGGTTGTAATGGTCTAAGTTGTTTTCTTAAAGCTACAATTAGATTGGTGCATTTCGTATATAAGGAGGATGAAGGTTAAGCCTTTGGAATTTGCTGAAGCAAATGGATGTTGTTATAAGCTATGAGTTGAGCTATGTTTCGAGGTTGGGTGATTACCTCCGAAACTGTAGAAAGGAGATTATGAACTAATCAGGTAAAGTTGATTTCTAAAAGAAATTTTCTTTGCTAGGAGGAACGATGTTTTACGTAGGAGTTTATTGTGTTTTATTGTGTGTGCTTTATGTGTTTCTTTTTCGTCAAGTATCAGTTAATTACCGTTTTAGAGGAATAGCGTTAATTATGCTAGGATTGTAGGCATGTGATCATAGGATTTGGTTAGTATATCTAAGTTTAGTCAATCAAATGAACCTAGACATGCGTGGTTGTAGCATGTGTTCAGGATGGGATAAGAAAAAAAAAACCAGCAGTTTTGAGTCAAATGATATAGATTCAGTGGATAAGCTGTAACGTCATGCTGGTTTATCGAAGGAACTGGCTTGGCTGAATATCTTCTAGGAAAATTTTAAACAGGTGTTCCTAAGTCAGTAAGAGGATTTAGGTACTGGTTTAAGTACTTGTTGAAATGACACCGACAGAGGTTAGTAGACGAATTTACTAGTCATCAGTAAATTCTTAATCAAGAATTTTTCTCATCAGGGGGGTGTCATTAGGAGGAGGTGCTGGCGATGCATATCAAGGAGGAGGCAGAGTCACTCAATTGCACAAATAATATGGAAATTTTTTTTTTAGGTTACCGTTCGCAACAAATAGTTGTTGCTCGGAAATTTTTGACT